TTTTTTTTTTTTTTTTTTTTTGGAGGAAATATTATCGAGAGAATAACAGAGATAGAAAATGTCATAAAAAGCCTCGTACTTTTGAATATTTTATATACCTTCCCATACGATTGCGTATCCCGCGCAATTTTGCATTTTCCAATTTCCCGTAAGTGAAGAACAATTCTAGCATGAAAATGCAGTCGAGTCATAGCATTGTAAATGTGCTTCAATTCCTTTCCATTGGAATTGGGTCCAAATACAAAATGTAAAAAAATAAAGGCATTCAAATCATGGCTATCATTATTATTCGTATTACTATCACATATATGATACAGTTTTTATCAATATCTTAGTAGAATTGGGATTGAAGAGCCCTTAGATCTCTTCTTACATGGCATTCTTTTCACAATCGCATATTTTATTCACATAGTTTCTCCATATCTTTTATACGTTTTGTTTGTAGTTAAAAAACGATACAATTAAAAATTAAACTTCGTACTTAGAATAAGATATAGATGATACTTGTGTATATCAACTTTGATGCATGATAGTGTATTTGATAACTCTTCCTTGATTTCTTTGAGAACGAAAGCTTTGAAAGAAAATTTGTTCTTTCTTTTTGACTTATTTTTTTTTTTTTTTGACACAGAATCACCTTCTGCTCGGTTGTACCACTCATTCTGAGACACCTTGTACAAAGTATTTCTCCTCGACAAATGCATACTTACAGTGACTTCCATTAATATTTACACTTGAATATTCGGATACTAAAATTTTTCGATTGTTATAATTTTGTAGAAAAAAGTCGTGCAAAACATAAACAATACAGTCTATGCAGTGACTTCTATTAATATTCGAACATTTGAACTGTTGCAATTAAAAAAGAAATCGTATAGTAATAAACTTGGACTTTCATTTCAAAGCTTGAACCCTCTGTTTTAAAAATGTTTTAACAAAACAAAGTGTAAAAATATTCAAAAGATTTTTTTCATGACTGAATCGATGATAAATTTGAAGGTTAAAGCCTCTCTTTTATAATAAACCCGGAAAGCTTAATGTATATCTCTTTTTCGCTATTTTATTGAATATTAGGCTGATAAAAATGAATAAATTAATGAGAAAAAAAAATCATACAGCAAGTATTGAAAGGTCGTTATAAAGAAATCAATCTTCAAATCCATTGTAGATTCAGTCACGAAAGAAATTGTTCAACGTTCTTATATACCATGGCAATTTATAGCATTTTAGAGAAGAGAAATGCCTTCACTTTGCCATCTGCTACAAAAACGTCTTAGAATCAAATGAACGATGCGTTTTAAAAGTAGGGTCGTCAACGAGTCGGAGCTTATTCTTCTTACAAAATTATATAACAGTTGAAATATTTTGTTCATCGATATTAAAAAAGACTTCCCAATAATTCTGGCAAATAACGAATGCTATTCGCTCGAACATAAAAATCTCCAATTAAATGTTCCAAAATAACTCGTTCCCTTTTATTATGCAGATTCGTTCTTGAAACATCCGTGAACACTATTCAAAAGTATTCTCAAGCGTGACGCTTCTTTCTACAAAAGTTCCAACAAG